ATCTTATACACTGAATACAGCATTTTTTGCCACCCGAAACCACGCCCCCTTAACCAAAACGGCCATGCAGACCCTCTAGGAAGCTTTTAGAGAGCTCCTGGGGCTGGGGAAGGCAGAAATGAGTGGAAAAACGGCCGTTTTTTGCTCACTTTTACCCCGCCAGCCCCCAGGAGCACTCTATAAGCTTTCTAAAGGCTATCCGTGCCTTTTTTAAAATGAAAAACGGATCAATTTTTGCAAGAAACGGGCCATTTTTTGCTTGTTTTTGCTTCCCTCCCAGGAGCACTCTGCAAGCCCCCTAAAGGCTATTCATGCCTTTTGGGGGGGGAATGGGCCCATTTTCGCAAAAAAACTGACCATTTTTGGGAGGTCTGCAGAGTGCAAACACTTTTTTTTTTAATTTGCTTCTTGAAAATCTTGGTGCGTCTTATACTCCAGTGCATCTTATACTCCAAAAATATGGTAGTTTTAGGAAGAAAAATAATAATAATAATTAACATCAATAAATTAAATAGGACTTCCTTCAAATGAAACTCAACTCCTGATGACTTAATAACATCTCCATGCAGCATTCGTAGCTACAATATAGCATAGGAGATTTTAGAAACCTTGCTTTCTACAGACTAAAGCTACTCAGTAGTAGTAAGTACACATTGCAAAACATCAACTCACATAAATGATTATGGATATAGAATTATCTGTTGAGGAGTGAATGAATGAATGTTGCGAAGTATTACAAAGGCAGCATGTTAGAGAAGCATAGCAGTGCCTACAGTTCTTCCTGATGAATAAGACATAAGCAACATGAATAATACCTTTATAGGTAGGAATATGTATGATCATATAGATCCTACAGATGATGCTGTTAAAAATGATTCATGCAGGACAAATACAACGTCCCATGAAAATGCTACAAGGAGTAAATAAATACGTAACAATTTGTTCCAAGCTGCATCTTATGATAACATTTCCAAGGACAGAAAGTGTGTTATTATATGAATAAAGAAATACTATTCTTATAAATAAATAAAAATCACCTTCTAGTAGCCTATTTGTCATCTGTATCAACAGTTCTTCCATTTCTAGGCTGAAAATGAATAATAAAATGGTGCTTGATAGTATTCCTTATTAGATACCAGGGGAAAGAAAACCTTTGTACTTAATTTGCAATAAAATTAGGCACTAGGTAATTAACAATATCAATAACACTTAGACTTATATACCACTTCACAGTGCTTACAGCTCTCTCTAAGCAGTTTACAGAGTCAGCATATTGTCCCCAACAATTTGGGTCCTTATTTTACCAATGTCAGGATGATGGAAGGCTGAGTCAACCTTGATCCAGTGAGAATTAAACTGCCAAATTAGCAAGAAAGATGGCCCTATGTTTCAATTAATCCCTCCTTCACCATCCTATTGCATACTCCCTCCCTGTCTCAACATCATTTATTCCACTTAAATAATGAGAGTGCCATATTACGACTCAACTAGTACAATGTAATAGCTTATTTTGGCTTCTTCCTCAGTCAATTTCAAAGGAGAGACTACTAAACCTAATTATATTTTGCTATTATGCACAGAAATATTTTAATTAGATTTCTTGACTAGGCTATTTTATTCCTCATCAAGCTTTTAATTAGTATAATATATTAGCTTTTTAATTTTGGGGAACAGGAATTCATTTATGTAGGGTTTATATAATTTGTTATAACCTATAAATATGGTTTCCATTTTTATATTATAACAAAATGGCTGTAAATTAAAATGAAGTTTCTTCTTACAAGGAAACAGAAAAATTAATACCCTGAAAAGAAAAAAGGATCGTCCTAAATCATCCAAACCATCCTGTAAAATAAATAAGAGAGATTTAATAAAATACTTTAAAACTCAATATAAGTGAAACAGTTCTACTGTGTGTGATAGAAACATGATGTCATGTGCTCTCTCTCTCCCTCTCTCTTCCTCTCTCCTTCCCTCTGACATTAAAAATAACAAATACTTCAGAGGAAAGTGGTAACAAACATTTTGGAGCTGCAAGTCTTCATCCAATAGCCCAAGGCCATAATATATGCACACACAACAATGGGCTGTGAGATATAATAGATGGTATAAGATTCAGAGGTCTCACATACAATACAAAACATGGTTCCTGGCATCTGTATCTTTAATTTGCTGATTGTGATCCATCAGTCCAAATCCCCATCAAAAGGTTGGGAATTGGCAATAATGTTTATATATAACAATAAGATCTGCATTTTAACATTACCTTTTTCATGAATTCTGTTGCAGCAATCTGCCATCCCTGCAGGAGAGAACACAGGTGAATTTCATTAGCTAAATGTCTTCAATTTGTATCCTGTTAATAGTTGTTCCATTGTACTATATTAAACAGAGCATTCAAAAAACCAAAGAAACAGAGTGAGGATAATAAACATCTTTAATTTATTGGAAATAATTTTTTGACCATGTTACAAACATGCTTTGGCCACTTAAACCAAAATAGCAGACACATGCTCCTGAACATAATAGAAATCTCAATAGCAGTCATATCTTATATTTTTTTATTTGTGCTAGGACCTTTGCTCCCTCCTCTCTTTTATTATTTACTGAATTTTAACCCAGTCACAAGTTATAATTAATCATTTTTATTTATTGAACTTGTTGCCAGTTGATGATTATTATAACTCAGTTTAGACAAGTGCTCTATCATATCATGATAATACAGGGTATTATGCTCCTGTACCAACAAAGAGAATAGAATATGGACAATATATGGATTTGAAGCCTTAAACATGAAGAGTATCAAGGGTTAGCCACTATTCATAACAGGCATAACATTTATTATTGTGACTGAGTTTAAATAAACAGCAAAGTGAGAAAGACTGGGAAGATAGAAAGGATGGAATATACGTAGAAAGAAAGAAAAATGTTGAAGAAAAGAAGGGAAGGGGAATAGTATTTTTCTTTAGTAATTGCTCACAAGCTGATCACTTGACACAATGACTTTAAAAAGGTTAAAATGTAAATTAAAAGACGCAAAATAATATGGAACATCTGAATGCATACTGGATTAAGGAACCTTTTCTTTCTTCTGTCCGAGAGCTTTGGAGCGAGGCTCATTAAAGGATGTAGAGGGAATGACTATAACAAAAAGATATTGTGAATGCTACTTTAGATATTAGAATATTAGAATAAGTAGTATCTAAAATCTAGATACCAGCTAACCGGTTTGATGCATGAATATTTCTAATGTAACCATCCATAAATTGGAGCCTTTTAGAGGTCTGGAACAGACATACTGACTGGGGACAAGAGTTGCATGCAGATAAATCTGAGTCCACCTGAGGATGAAGCTGCATATCAAGTCTGGACGTCTTGTTTGTGCTATTTTTCTATCTATATCACCCATCTTTGCTCTCTGCCTTTAGCTGAACCCAGTGGTGATATTCAGCAGATTCTGAACAGTTCTTGAGAACTGGTAGCGGACATTTTGAGTAGTTTGGAGTAGTTTGGCGTAGTAGTAGTAGTTCGGAGAACTGGTAAATACGACCTCTGACTGCCCCCACCCCATCGATTCTCTGCCTCTCAGAGTCCCAGCTGATCGGGAGAGAATGGGGATTTTGCAGTAACCTTCCCCTGGAGTGAGGTGGGAATGAAGATTTTACAGGATACTTCCCCTGCCATGCCCACCAAGCCATGCCACGCCCACAGCACCGGTAGTAAAAAAAATTGAATCCTGAAATTAGAATATAAATTACATCAAGCATCTGCAGCATACCAAAAGTTCATTAAAATAATGAAAAATGCATTATTTGCCCCTCTTTGAAAATATCCATGGAAGATCCTTTCATTTTACTTTACTGACATGCTGCTTAAAGAAATTATAAACACACTGAAGAGAGATGTGTTATTTTACATATTTTTGTCTACTTTTTGTATGTTAAAAATGTATAACAAATGAACATGTTAAAGTACTAACCCCAGTTTTAAGTGGATATGTTGGGTCTTGAGCTCTAGAGTAGTGAAATAAAAACTGCATAAAAAGATCTATTTTAGTATAGAGTTTCAATTAAAATATTGTGCATATCAATTCTATTTAAAAAAATTAATACTCACTCTTTTATACAATTCCTGATTATTTTCCTAAGAAAGACAATGATGATCATATTAGATTAATAATAACTATTACCAACACATTATGGTACCGTTTGCAAGAGGAACAATCACCTTACCTCATCTATCTGCAGGCTGTCAAACATGGAGTTACAAAAATCCAAAAATGCATTGGAAATCTGGAGGGAAAATGTATTTCAAAAATAATTCTACTGTTGATGATATTATTTGACCTCAATTTTCTCTGAAATATTCCCATCCATCCATGAGAGTTAGAAATTTTGAGAATAATTGTCCAAACTGATCAAAGGGAGAGTTCTTCAGGATCACTATGATATATTATTATAGATGTAAGCTTTTTTAAAAAATAAATAAAAAGAACTTCTAAACTAATTTTAGTGTTAAATTAATATATTAATAAGAATAGTAACATACAAAACATTGATATTATTTTTTATAATTCCCACAGCTGCTTATTAGTAAATATTTGCCATTTTCTACACTTTATTGCATCATTTATTAACATATTATAAAAACGTTTTATGAAGCAACAGTTTAAAATGTGAAACATGTTAATTATTCATCTCTTACCCGTGGCATGATCACTATAAAAATAGACTGGAATGTTAAAACATATATTAGCAGAATATAAAGGTTTACAATAGATCATTTTATAGATGTATGATCTATAAAGTAGCCAAAGACAGTCAAAGAAGAGTTCAAAGTAAATCAACAGCTTTTAATAAATACTTTTAAATATAAAATTACTTTTTATACTCACATTCAGACACTAAGACTGAATGTTAGATTATTCCTTATGTTGTGTTATTTTCACACTGTTTTTTATGTGGGGTTGTGATTCCAACAATGTTAGTTGATTAGATGACCCATATCCAAATGGTACATAGGCTGGAAAGTGTAGTTAGTTAATATGAACTATATGTACATGGATAGGTTGTGAAATATAGCAATTTTACTGAAAATTGCTGAAGAAAAAACAAGTGCTTAAGTTTCAGTATTAGAGAAGGATAAATAATTTACATGAATTATTTGCTTGAAAGAGGTGTTTAGAAAAATAAAATTAATAATATGTGGGTGAATATGCACACATTTTGAATGTATTTACATTGATGATTACTCTATAGTTCTAAACTAATTAGACATTTTTACCTGAGGTTGTTCAAAGAGTTCTGTCCACTGACTGAAACATAGTGCCAGCCTCTAGAGCAAAAGTAGGAAAAAGAGAAACTTCTAATCTAGTAAAAACTTGTGCAAAACGTTATATTATAAGTTCTAACATTAGTTGATATGCAGTCCATATTTGTATATTTTGCTCCTATAACCATTTATTAACATGCATTGGCACACAGCAACCACTACTGTATATGGCCTTTCTTCTTTAACTGCAGTAGATTTTGTATTTTCCAGGGATGTACTATTATTTATATTTTTCTGGAAGAAACATGGAAAATATGTTAAATGTTATGTACCTCATTTTTAGAAACATTTGATTCATCCAGATAGCTGGCAAAAGTCTGAGGAAATCCTGTTAAAGTGAAATAATAGGTGAGCAGTTGATGTAGTAAAGCATGACTGATTTCATCTGAATTAACATAAAGAAAATGCATACACTCCTGAAAAAACTTGTATATTATAGATCAAACAAAATCCTCTGATCAGAGAATCATATCACTTCTTTTCCTAGAACTTTAAATTTGAATTTAGCATTTAAAAAGTTCATTCTGTAATTAACTCCCACCCTCACTTATAAAAGAACAAAAACCTTTAAATTGAGATACAAAAATAAACCAATATTATGTAACTGAGAAGGAAGAAATGAATGCATACTTTAAAGACTTGTGATCTGGTTTTCATTAATTAATTTTGATGAATTGTTTCAACCAAAACTTTTATCTAAAAAATTATCCATAGAAATGGACAAGGCTGCCATGTTCTATTCAGGACCTTGGATAGCTCAGAGATTGGAAGTTCATTTGCACTGAATTTGTGCAAGAAAAGAAGGAAATGCAAAGCCTGTTAATCATTCTTAGTCCATTGATTGAAAAGCACTAAAAGTGTTAAATATGACTCAAGGAAAATCAGTATCTCATTTATTCAGCACAAGAGTTGTATCTTTTATGATAAAGTTCTTAAAACAAGAATTCCATGTTAGGTCTTTGACTTCTAAAACTTATAGAAACAAGGAGTACACCATACACAGACAGGATATCTACAAGGTATTTTTAATTTGTACAGTAAATCACCCTAGAGTTTGGACAATACACAAACATCTTAAATAGATATGGAGTAAAAATGATTACCTGAAATGAATTGTCCTGTGCAAAAGCAGATTACAAAGACCAAAGGGAAAGGAGGAAATGACTGTTTCATTTTCATCCACCAAATCAAATCCAAGCTTTTCTGTACCACCAATTTAAGTTCATGAAGCAGCCAGGTTGCTACTAATCTTTCTATGCCTAGTCTAAACTCGAGGGGCATCTTTATTTCCAACACTGAAAAAAGAACCAATCAGGGCCTCACAGTATCCTCGTTTCTCATTAAGCTTCATGCTGTGTTTTTATTTAAGAAGCAAAGTTTCCCCCCATCAACTCTCAGCAAGTCTACCAATTAGTTAGATCTTTATATACAGAATGAAAGTCCTTTAAAAGGACAGAGAGGCGAGGGGGACTAGGACATAGCCAGGGTGGAAAGGGAAGTGCCTTTAAATTTTTCTGGTGAAATAGTGTGGCTCAAATAAGCAGTCCCAGCAGGACAATTGGATACAGACTTAATCATACTTCCAACAGACTCTGAAATCAGTTTCTATATTAGACTTAGACTTCTCTACCATTTCACAGTGCTTTACAGCCCTCTCTAAGCAGTTTACACAGTCAGCATCACAGGTGGGTTGCTCCCGGTTCAGCCAAACCGGTATTAGCGGCGGCAGGAGGCATGCGCAGAAGCGGTGCGCGAGGGAGATCACAAGTGAACCAGTAGTAAACTGGTTAGCAACCCACCACTAGTCAGCATATTGCCCCCAACAATCTGAGTCCTCATTTTACCAGCCTTGGAAGGATGGAAGGCTAAGTCAACTTTGAGCTGGTAAGAGTCAAACTGCCAAACTACAGGCAGTTGGCAGTCAGCAGAAGTAGCCTGCAGTACTGCATTCTAACAACTGTGCCACAATGGCTCATATGTTAAGAAAGCAAAAAGGAAGCAATTATTATTATTTGTAATTCAACAGCAGGGGTGAAATCAACTTACCTTCGCTACCGGTTTGCAAATAGCAATAGCAATAGCAGTTAGACTTATATACCGCTTCATAGGGCTTTCAGCCCTCTCTAAGCGGTTTACAGAGTCAGCATATT